ATGGAAACGTAAAAAATAAAAAAATAAAAATTCCTAAATAGCAAAAGGCACCAGTTCAGCATAAATCTGATAGACATGCAAAGTTTTGTAAGAAAGTTTTGAATGGGTTTTGAGTTATGCTCCGGAAACGAACTCTACCCTATAGAACCTAAATCCAACTGGTTGCCATAGAAACATAAAAAATAAATAATAAAAAATTTCCTAAATAGCAAAAGGCACCAGTTCAGTATGTGCCTGGTAGACATGCAAAGTTTTGTAAGAAAGTATTTAACGTTTTTTTAGTTACGCTCCGGAAACAAACACCACCCTTATGAACCTAAGTCCAACTTGTTACCATGGAAACGTAAAAAATATAAATTTCTAAAATTCCTAAATAGCAAAAGGCACAACTTCAGTGTGTGACTGATAGATATGCCAAGTTTCGATCAAATACACTGAATTATTTTTGAGTTCTGCCCCGGAAAAGGAAATGATTACAGACGGACAGATGGACGGAGGGACAGACGGATGGACAGATGGACTGGCTGATCGCTATATCCCTCCGCATTATATGCTGGGGGGATAAAAACCCAATAAGCGATGAATAGATGAGTGAAAAAATATTGGTTACCCACTGAAAAATGTAATAACCCAATTAAAATAGAAACCTTCGAGTGAAAACTCAATTGCTCAAAAAGTTATCTGAATACCTCAGTCCTACTTGTTGCTCCTCTGAATCCTGTGATTCTCAATCCCAGATAACCGCACCCACTTAACCACACATTGAATAGTCAGGACATACACTTTAACGCTTGTGATACTAACCACTTTTGATCCCACAGGCAAAGTTTCCTGAGAAACAAGATCATTACGTGTTTGTTATTAATTACCTCCCTAGCAATTCACACTTAACCCCTCCATATTTTCTCCCCTTATCACAGCTGCTGTTTCCAACACATCGAAGAAACAAGCTACGAGAGGACATTTATGTAACAGCCGTGGGGTAGACTCAGTGCATGGAATCCACTAACCGCACTTGCCATAATGAGCGCCATGGTTGCTTAGAAAATAAATCCATACACAACAAGTTAAATTTTGTTTTCAGAGATCGCGAAGGAGCGGACAAACTTATTTCAAATGTTGATGAAACTAAAACTAAAAAGATATGAATCATTCCACTGGGGATGGGATCAGGGGGAGTTGTTGCATTGATATTGAGTTGCATTTTTGGCTGGAGGTCTGCAGTCGTATTAATTTGGAGACGCATTAATTTCAAGATTTACAGTATACATTACTTACAGATTGGTCAAGAAGTTGGCCAGGGGGCCAGCAGTGTTATTTTCAATATTATTTTCTCATACAGTCACATGTGTCCATCATACAAGGCAGATGCAGGCTATTGATTTATATAATACAGCTACATGATTAATTGCAAAGAACATGAACGAAGTGTGGTTTATTTCATGATAAATCAATGTTCTATCATGACGTCATTTCTGGAGATTCAAACATGCGCTTGCAACTTGATGACGTTGTATATTGGATGACGTTATTTTTGAGAGGGTAATGTCTAGTAAGTTGTTCCCCATAGATGTTTTCCCTAATTACAGAGATCTAAGAATACAGGTTTAACCAGAACCATACTTATGAAAATGCAGATTTAATAAATTTGTGAACCTTTTAACAATGAAATATGTTAAAATACAGCATAAAGTCCTTTGTATTTATATACTACTCAAAAGAAGTTAAAGAACACACAATATTTTCATATTGCTGTAGTTAATCTGTCATGGCACAAAAATAAGGTGGTCCTTAACTTTTTGTGAGTAGTATAATTCCTACAAAACAAAATCCTATGATCACATTAGAGACACCAGCCCAACTTTGGAAAAAACAGTGGTGCTTCTGTAGTACTAAAAAGGTAATATGAAAGAATTGAGCTTTCTTTAATTTCTGTCGAGTAGTAGGGGCACGGGTGGCCCAGTCGTCTGAGGCGCCACGATTCGCTGTGCAGTGTTGCGTCCCTTGGGCACACCAGAAACCTATGATTGTGGGTTCGAATCCCGGTTCGCCCCAATTATGTTTCTAGGTTTGTCAGCACCATACCCTTGCTCGTGGGTTTCACCGAAGTGGTAAACGTCTAAGACCTGCATCACTCCAGGCTTTCCTCCGACATTAAGCTGACACGCCGCGATATGACTCGGAATACTGTTAAAAGCGACGATAAACTTAATTCACTCACTCACTCTGTCAAGTAGTATACCATGCCTTCATGTTGCAGCTGAAACTAGTATACTGACATCAATGTGATCCATGTGACATAAATAACGGCAAAAATGCAGTATACCAAAAACCTTCCGCTATTTTGGTAAGGGATGTGCACAAGCTTATTCCTTAGTAATGGTTTCTACGGTTTTCAGACGCCATTTTTGTCATCTCGCTAAAACAACAGAGGGTTTGGGGGGCTTGCCCCCTACTCAAAGGCTTGAATTAAATGCTTTTGTAAGTATATGAAATGTTTAATTACAGCGACTAGATACAAAATATGAGTTTGCTGAAATGTGGCTCTGACGGATGTCACTGATGAGGTTGTCGCACGCCATGATAGAACTTCTATTTTAGAGTACTTTTTCGATATTGATGTCCATATCTGTGGTTTAGGCATTGCTTTAAAATTCATTTTCAAGGTTTAATCAAATTAAACCATACAAATGCAGATGGTTAATTTTTTCTGCTTATTTTGAGCTTTATCGCCCTGTTTTTCAAATAGTGATGCTGTCGAGTGCGGCTTTATTAGTAACATCAAACAAACATGGCGGATTGGTGTCCGGAATAATGCATGTGTACCTAAATAACTTGGTTATATGTCCACATAAGAAATTGGTACCTACAACAGTAATAGAATAATAAAGGTCATGAACTGTTTCAAGACAAATTCCATCAATGGACATGCTGGATATTGGGATGTGGGGCCAAAAAATTGTTTGACTCAAGTTTCCTTTCTTTTTTGAAGTTCTGACTGAAAATATTCTCTGTCTCAAACAAAAGTCCCAGCCCCCTACACCCATCTACAGGGTCCCTTCACAAAGAATAAATACACTGTACAGTAAACTACGGTTATAATGAACTCAGAGGAACCACTATGTTTAGTTTGTTATAATCATAGTTTGTTATAAGCATATTTACTGTATATATGATCTGACATAATATATACTACTCAACTTTTGACAGGGATAACAGATGTCATTCTATTTAAATATACACTGACATATACCGTATTCGAAGTAATAAGAGCCCCGCTCTAATAAGCGCCCACGGCGATATTTGCTAATATATTGGCTAGTGACCAATACCAATTATTACCCCTTCCGATTGATCAATGTACACAAGACTTATTTATTCGCGTATAATACGCGCTCATGTGTTATATGCACCCTTAATTATGGACAATTAAATTCTGGAAAAATTTATCTGTCGTACATAAACATTTTAGGCTGTCAGAATAAACCACGAACTTACCCTTTCAACTCTGTTTTTTTCACTAAAATAATATTCCAACAAGAGCCCCCTATTTATAATTTTGAGAGCACCCTGGGCGCTTATTACGTCGAATACGGTAATGAGAATCAGTTTTGTATATCATGGAAAGTTAAAAAAATAACCTTATCAAAAGCGGAGCAGTATATATATCTAGTCCTACACACTCCAGCTATAGACATAATGCTCACTACTCTCCTACCTGGGACATATATCCAGGAGCTCTCTTTTTACTATACACATATCAAGCAATAGATATACATGCATTGCTCTGCCCCTAGCATTTAATTTCTAGAGGAAGTATGACTCTCTTTTTACCATACACATATCAAGCAATAGATATACATGCATTGCTCTATCACTAACATTTAATTTCTAGAGGAAGTGTGACTCTCTTTTTACCATACACATATCAAGCGTTACATATATATCATGTGCATATGGAGTGGTCCATTCTCTGCTATTTAACCTAAATTTTGTTCAGTCAATTAAACTCATCAAATAGTAAGTCCTGAAAATGATGCCAAGAGCCATGTTTTAGCCAGTGTTTGCACAGCTTGCTGACAACCAACTTCAAGTGGTGCATGTGGTGTTTGGTCTGAGTATCTCTTACGCTGCATATAGACAAAGCTCTGTATGTTTATGAAATCACTTCCTGGAAGAGCATGTTTCCATGAACTGTTTGTTGTTGTTGGCTTCTAGTTATTAAATGATAATGGATTCAAAACAATGTTGATCAGATAATTCTATCGTACAGGATGGACATAAATAAACACTGCATGTGTGCATGTTTGATAAAGAAAGATTTGTCGTAGCAGAAAGGCATTATCACTTTTACACTTCATCTTCGCGTTTACCTTGATGAAGAAATAAGAACATGTTTGTGTTGTTAAGGACAGGTGTTAAATCAAATAGCATGCACTTTGATAAACGACACAAATGTCAGCTATTTTAAAAATATCATCAAACTGCATGTGTGACTCTTAAAGAAAAAATTAACAGTTGTTATCTTCACACACAAATGATTGTAAACAAATCTACAACAGCAGTCTGCATAATAACACCTGTCCATTCATTGCAACAACTTGTAATGTTCACAAGAAATACTAAGTACATCCCACTTTACAGAAACATAATATACTGATGTCTGTTGATATCATTGAAATTGTTAGACATTTGGCAATGCTTGTATAGCATGCAATGCAATTAAGAGACAATAATGTTAATATGTAATTTAAAGATTGCTAGCTGGCTGCACTGTAACTAAAGCTGTATTCGCCGATGATCTACATCTATGCTGAATAATGATGATGATGATGTATATAGCTAGCCATGCTATAATACCAAACAACTGATTATTTGTGTAAGACCACTGTTCTTGAGTCATAAAATGTTTTCTGTTGAACATCTGCTTAATGAGTATTTTTATCAATTTTTAACTGGAGACACACAAGTTTCTGTTCGGAATATAGAGGCCAACCTACCTGAGGGCAGACTAGAGGAGGACACTGTCGAGGGTAGCATGTTGTCTGTCCGTCCTTACACGCACACTTGGTGCAAGCAAGGGGAGACCACTCTGAACCGTCAGGGTAGTGAGTGCCAGTCGATCCAACACATGATCCTGCAAATATAGAAAAGCAGAGTTCAAGCTGCAGTCGGAACATTCTGGCCAAGTTTTTTTGGTTAAAGCATTGTATGGCCTGTACTGATGATATGCGTTGAACAAGATCAAATAAAAGATCATTATGTCAACAGGTTATTCAGCTCAAACACTTTATAATAATGCAAATTCTACCATGACATTGAAGAATGCTTCTGATTGGTTAATAAAATTTCAATTTTCACATTTGTTCCTCTATTGAATTAAGCCTTTTCACATAAAATCCATGTTTATGAATACATCAATAACCTACATATCAATCCATGAAAAATGGCTGCTGATCATCCATTGTTTAATATTGGAATGTTTACATATATCTTAGGCGACAATTGTTTTGACATCCATGCGTTTAACCCTGACGGGTTGGATGATGAGATGACAACACTCAGGTCCAAATTAAAAATAGGAAGGCATCAATTCTACAATCTCAAATTGCAAAACACATCTCCTAAATCAACAACCCTGACCAACTACAAAGTTCCTTGTCATATAGAGAGCTGAATAACACGTAAATAATTTTACAATTAAAACAATTGTAACATGACTGTTATGACAATATCCGACAAAAGCAATAAACAAACTGTTTCAGTTCAGCCTTCAAAATTACTACACCATATCTAATCTTGAGATAAAGAGAATTAGTAATATATCCCAAATAATTCACCTACATACAACAAGCCACTATCAGGCAATTACCACCCAATCAAGATTAAGATGAAATTTCTTCCAGCCAATAGTGACTTGATTCATATCAGTCTATATATACACCAACTCGACTAACATGGAGGCTCTACAGTAAGCTGGCATGAAATACTGTCCAATGGGTAGGGTTTCACTGAATTAGTGAGTTGGCTGCCCTACAGAGATGAAAGGCCTGTTATCAGCTTGAAGTACCTGTATGTCCAGTGGCCACTCACGCCACTTGTACTCACACAACACCTCTTGTGAGGCCAGCGATAGGCCAAGTGTTAGTAGAGTGGGACAAGTGGTTGTATCTAACATGCAAGTGGAGGATATATTTGTTATACCCTTCACTGAGAGAGGTTATGATTTCTCTGTTTATGGCATCAGCTGTAGCTCACTGGAAACCTTTAAGTCACATTCTAGAAGCTGTATTATCACTGAAGACACAATTAACTTCTGATTTCAACTTCCATATTCTATTAATGAAATAGTTTGGTACAGGTGCTTGGACCTTTCATGCTATCACTGTCTTCAGTGTTTGATTCTGGTCCTATGAATCTAAGTATCAGCATTAGTAGTCATGTTAATATTCAAAAGTGTTATTTTCCAAATATCTGACAGGGATATACTTTTATTAACTGTTTGAGTGAACTTATACATCAAGTGTTGGCGTGTAACAGTTGAATAATGCACTACATTATCTATAGTTTTGATACTTGTTAAAATAATGGATATAGCTACTGTAAGTACAGCTACCAGGAGGTACAGGTGGCCCAGCGGCTCAAGGCCTTGTGCAGAATGGCATCAATAAGGCATGCAACAAACCTATAGTCATAGGTTCAAATCCCATATTTGCCATGATAATGTTTCAAGGTTTGTCAGCACCTAAACCCATGCTAGAGTGGTAACTAAGACCTGAATCACTTCAGACTTTTATCAGACATCAAGCTGACATGCCTTGATATAACTGAAATACTGCTTAAAGCAATGATACACCAAACTCACTCACACTCACTAGATAGTATTTTTTTGGTTTATCCAAATTCCATATTGTTTGAAGAGATTTGGGTTTCTAAGTGGGCACCCAAGTTCCCCAAAATATTGATTAATCCATACCTTATGAATGTATCATGAATGTATCACTGAATGTTTCTGTAATGCTTCAATGGACTGTACGAGCAATAAGCATAGACCCGAAAAGCCATTTATAGGTAGAGACATATACAATCACTCTTTGTACGTTGGTTCACCAATGAAACCTGTGAAGAACCATAAACTGATTCAAAGGAGGTCTTGACACTGGCCAGGTGCTGTATTCAAGTTATTGACCACTTACCTCATTGAGACATGAAACATGTCCCTTCTGAAATGACATCAGATATCAAAATTGTGTCTACTTTGTCATCCGTCAACTTCTAAGACATGCCCATCAAACAAGACTGATATATTCAAAGCAAACAGTTGTTTCTATGGCCTCTGGTATCCAGGACTAACAAAGAATGATGGTACAGCTAAACCTGTACATTAACTACTACTGCTACTACATTACCTGTGGTCAAGTGATCATGAAGGTAATACACACCTGCTTACTGGTACACTAAAGTATGTAGCAAAGACGTGCGAAACCATTATAATGTAATCTTGTTTAAATATTGGTAATAAATATGTCAGCACTCAAATTTGGGCCTCCAAGTGGTTTGGGTTCTTGATTACCTGTCTGGTGGGTGCCAGGTATGTGGCTAGTACACAACCATCATGCACAAGAACTAGGTTTGATTCCCAGCCACATAGGTTTACATGTCAAGTCCACTTTTTTTTGTGAGTGTCATATTGGAAGCATTATTTTTAGTTCAATGGATATGAGGCCTCTCTTAGGCTAAAAAAATATAGTCTTGATTCTCAGGCACCACCTGCATGATCATAAAGCATGTTTTGTTTTTATTTCCATTCAAAAACAAATAAATTTTAAAATCCTCAAATATTCCAAGTCCAACAGTAGTCAAATACTGTATTCGAGTATTTTACTCACCAAGGAATACATTTATGTAGGGAGGCCCTTTCCCAGGTTGATTGTACACAATTGCTTATTGATTACACAACTGTTTATTGGTTACATACTAGTTTGAACAACCCCCCCAAAAATACCACTGCCTGCCCGCACTATATTTTCAAAAAACCTTGCCTGAGAACCAATTCTTTTATTATTATTTTTAAACCTATCAGTATGTTGCAAAATGACAAATATAACAGTAAAAGTTTAAACTTCACACTTCAATAGTTACTTTGCACATTTTTTTACTTTTTTGCTCTGAAAACAATGTGTGACAGATGGAAAGACAAACAGACAGAACATGTTTCTTTATTAAACTTGGCTGTGGCAGAATATATAGTATGACTCTATATTATCGTGGGCTCTATAATATCGCAGTACCGGCAAATGTTGTAATCCACAACCCCTGTCCACTGTTTTTTTTTTACTCATGCAAATCTAAGCACGATATTTCATTGTTTGATGGAATACAGGACTTGTGGTATGTCATGCCTACTCGCAAGTACACACACTAACTTTTTTATGATGGTTTCTGGAATGTTTTTGAAGTGGAATTACCCCTACCTCCATTCAAAATTGATTAGAAAAGAACCAATTTGTTTAGACGATGTCCCTTGACCCTGCCTTGGTCATATGCATACTGAATATGCATAATTCAAAACAGGAAGTGATGTAAACAACATAATCCACACGTATCACACCACAAAATAGCCATACCGTGATAATATAGAGTTGCCCATCCTTGAGTTGCTAATGCCAAGTAGTTTGTTTACCAAACTCGTTAACGAAAATCAGCATCGATCAATCCTAATTGATGTGTCATAAAATTTGAACAAAGAACTAGAAACATTTTCCGTATGACATATTAATAGGTCTGTAAGCGTGCACCAATACTACCGTGACAATATAGCGTACCATCCTATTAACAAGAGGCACTGCCCAGGAGACTCCCAACACACAAGACTTCATGTGGGATAAGATATGATACTCTAAGAATGGCATTTCATCCTTTTTTGTTCATTGTTCACATTTACAGACTCAATAGAACATTTTTATCAGCATATTCTGTTTTTCATTAATCAAGGTGGGTGTGTTTTAGAGGTGTGTTGGTCTGTTCAGTGTCGGCTGTAATGACTGCAGACTGTGTCCCAACACGAGAGCATGTGAGCTTTAATTACTGGACCATAGGGCACAGTTACATGGGTCACACCCCTGTAAGCTGATCAACATGTCTAAATACTACGCTCACTGGCATCCCTCATTATCTAAACCCTCCATGTTGTAATCGTAAATAAGATATAACTTTCAACCACTGAGATCAAATTATCTTATTTATATGTTCTTAACAACCAGCTTGAAGCTAAAGACTTTTATTTATTCTATCATGAACATCTGGCTGGCATTCATTTTTATCAAAATTATATACTTATCTCAAGCACATGATTCCAAAACCAATTCAATCAAGCATTTAAGATACATAATTCTAAGTGAATTTTAACTTATGATTTTCCATATTATCCTAAAAAGAATTCTCAAGATGAAGGGACAAAGGGGTAGCCTTGTGGTTAAAGTGTTCACTCGTCATGCCGAAGGTCTGAGTTAGAAGCCCATTTCAGATATACCCCACTGTGATATTGCTGGAATATTGCAAAAAGCAGTGTAAATCAATACCCACTCACTCCACAAGTGCATGATGAACATGCATGTATAAAATCTTTACTTGCAATAATTAAGGAATATTGCAAACATTAAAAACATTACTTTCATTCCAGTACAAATGGTGTTAATACAATTTGACACCTGAACAAGACAGTGAAAACGGTGCATTGTAATAGTAATACTATAGTTTCAGGTTAATGATAAACACTTGGAATGAATATGAACAAGCCCTCATCAGGGAAAATGAAGTCACATGACAGCCATGACAAACTTGTAACAAAAACTGAGCTATATTCACCAGTTCATATTACACCTTATTCTATAATCCTTCATGATAAATTCAGTATAACAATCCCCATGCTGTTTAAGACATTGATCAAACAGGGGTTATTTTGAGCTGTTGTTTAATATTTGAAAATTCATATGTTCTGTCTTAATAAATCATGGATATAAATACATTTCCCCCTGTCCTGTAGATTGTAACCAACAATTTATAGAGCTTCCCATCCTGGCTCCTGTAGGTGCCTGGCAAGGGGTAATCTGTCCCCCTGAATGCATTACAAGGGCCTGTAATAGATGGCAGAGATAGGCCTTCATAGTGGTATACATCACAGCCAGAGTTGAAGATGATTAATACAGGGTCAGAAGGTGAGGCTCTTCCCAGTCAGGGTATTGTGTGATGTTAAATGGTTTGGATGCACTGCAGTTAATTGTTTTCCTGGGCTACCATGGGTTTCACAGAGATCAGAAGGTGTGGTGAAGTTAAATGGTATGTGGAATATAGGGGGGTGTATATCAGTGTACGTCATAGTGCTGTACAGTGTGCTAACAGAACAGCAGTACATGGAATCTGACTGATAATGCCTTGCTGTAATAGGTTGGGAGTAAATGAAACCATATTGTCCGAAAACAAATAACTTGATTTATGGATCTCAGACTAAAAAAGTTAGTTTGACGGCACTGTAGCTCACCTGGACAACAGTTTAAAAAGACAACAAAAAGGAATCGCTGTCAGCATTGATACTCAAATATTTCCTTTCTAAATATTGAGGAATAAAAATTAACATTAAAATATGACCAAATATGAAGTCCTCACCAGGTGAAATATACCGGGTACATGCTAAATCTTAGTTCTCTCAGTATGGCAATTTCAGGAGTGTACAGAGCCAAATATGCATTTTTAGAGGACAGAAGAGCATGTTCAAAACAAGGTATACATTTAAAATATCACCAAAACTGGAACATATCTCTTGAAATCCACAACTAACTAACTATCAAATACCAAATTTGCTGTGGTGGCCATATTAAAAATCAGATTCAGGATTCAAACCCCTTGAACATAATTGTCGGGAACAAACATGTTCAGTTTAAGTTTCAATAGCCCAGTGGTTTGTGAGGAGATAATATTTAGTGCATGAAAATGCGCATGGTCAAAGTGCAGTGGTAAAAATAAACTAACCAATGACAAAGCAATGGCCATAAACATCTGCTTCAATATGGCTGCCATAGCTATAACAAGAACAAGTGAGAGAAGACTTTTTATGTGTCCACCTTCTACTCAAATCTCATAGCACCCAAAACTGTCCCCCTGAAAGCATTTTGCCCTTAATCTGAGCTACTGACCAAATTTTTCATATATTCCAAAGGAACACAAAAGGTCTGCCTTAATAATTCTCCTTGCCTCAGGAAACCCATGAAGATCCGGGGTAGAATAGGTCTTCAGCAACCCATGCTTGACGTAAAAGGCGACTATGCTTGTCAAAACAGGTGACTAGACTTGGTTGATGCATGTCATCTTTCCCAATTGCGTGGATCGATGCTCATGATATCAATCACTGGATTGTCTGGTCCAGACTCGATTATTTACAGACCGCTGTCATATAGCTGTAATATTGCTGAATGCAGCGTAAAACAACCAACCAACCAACCAACTTTTCGTCAGGAAGCTTTTCAAAAGAAAGAGTTATTAGGGTCAGGTATACAATTCTTTATGAACAAAGAACACTTTATTCCCAGAAAATGTCATGACTAGATCCCCCTATCTATTAAAGCTTGATTCCAGGACAAATGAGTGAATTAGGTCAAACACCACTGTGAAGATTATTTCAGTCGTATCACAGCATGTCAGCTTGGGTGGAAAGATTGAAGAGATGCAAGTCTTATACGTTTACCACTTCGGTGAAACTCACAAGCATGGGCATGGTGCTAACAAACCTAGAAACATAATCACGACAAATGTGGAATTCAAACTCAGGATCATATGTTTCTGGCTTGCCTAAAGGACACAGCAGTATTTAATGCAGCATACTATAAGACACATGGAATTAATGTTTTTGGTATTTTATCAAGCAGACTTTCTTTTCCATTAACATTTAATTAACATTTTACATAACATAATTTAATTAATATTTAAGTAAGACATCTGACTGAAGCTGACCCTGGAATCTATGTAGATGAAGAAGATCTTAACTCAAATTAGCAGAAATGGCTGCATCAAAATATTCAGAGCATATCCTTGCAAATCCAATACAAGGTTGTGTTTTTCATAGTTAATTGGCAAGGATATTACAATTTGCAAGGTAATGTAACCAAGCCATTGTAATGACCTTTTCAAGCAGAGGAACAGTTGCTATGCATCTATCTTTAACTGTTCTAGGAAACCATCTTGAAGACATTTGTGGAAGAATTCCTTGGACCAACAAGGAATCAGTAATGTGTAATATGTAACACCCAATCCTTTCACTGTACAAAATACCACTGACTTGCAGACATTGTGTTTAACACTTCCTCAGATGACATGATAAACCCACAGTGCCTTGTAATCTAAACACCATATGTTATGTGTTTGAATGCTACCATAAACAACATGGCTACCAGTGCAGCACTATTACAACACATTGGGTGATACTTTTAGGAGATAGATAAACTTGAGGTAGTCTAACTGTAGATTAGATACCTCTTATGTTAATTTAGAGCCATTGTTATATGCATCGTCAAGTAAGCTATCAATAATCAAAGGAACTAAACCGAAAATAGATATACTTTAAAACTACTTAAAAACATATTTTCAATTTAGAATCTTATTGCTATAAACACATGATAAAAAGGATTACAAAAATAACTTTAACAAAATATGGTCACTTTTATTCTCAGCATTTGATTCTTAGCTTTCTGTTGCTACATGCTATGTTTGAGTCTGATTGTGTGTTGCAACCTTTTGGGTTTGAAATAAGAAAATGTTTGTTTCCAAACCTTGACATTTTTAAAGAGTGTATTGTGTCATTCTATGCCATCCAAAATATGTTTTTGAAGGAATACTGTATTACTCTACAATTCTGGGAACAATAAAAAATTGAAAAAAAGAAGGCTATCAATATGTCAATGTATTCATTCACAATTATTTTGTGTGAATAGGCTTATGTTTGAGGTACCTGATGGAATTAGCTACTTCTTATTTTGACTCATATCCTATAACCCTCTAAACCCATGAGTAACACTCTTTTAATAATGTACTTTTTCAGTAATTGGTTTACATGACAGATATTATTGCTGACATTTGACATTTATAGAAATATTCAAACCAATGTAATGTAACATACCTAACTTATGAGCAGGCTAACTAAAATCACTGGTAGGTTCAGAAAGTTTTCAACATTAGTCGAAGAAACACCCATTGTCTACTTCTAGGCACCAGGTTATTGTGATGTCACAACACTGTATTATTTTGTATTAAAACAAAACACTATGTATGAATGAGGGACATACACTTATATACACTTATATGAGGATCAGTCACACATTAACAATTTTCTCAGATTAACAACACTGTATGTCAAATCCGACTGGTCATAAACATGACAACACATTAGTTTGTTAATTTATCATGCAAAACTGGCTTCAGCAAGAGATATCACAATGAAATTGCTTCCTAAAGCTTTCAGACCATTGTGACATCTTTGGTTACCATGACGTCACAATCAAATGACATCACTAATTATTCTGCCACTGATACTGGTTAGTTGTACTTTTTACACAAGACACTGGTTATTACTTTTTACAAACTGAACAGGTTGGAATAAAGAATTTTGGAAGGGGAAAAAAATCTCACCCATGTGTCTTTTAATATAGAACATAACATACTTCATAAACTCATGTTGATATATTTGATATGAATACACACTCGGGTGATATTCTCTATATCATACTATCAATCTCATCATGACATGCCTCTGACACAGGTTTCAGCCCCTTCTATGTTATACTGAGGAATGTTACTTACGTCCAGCGGGTATACACTTGGGGCAGCACTGTCCTGGCAGTTTCTGGCTGACCTCCCCAGGCCGACATCGTGTTGGAGGGCATGTCTTGTTGGTGCAGGTGACATCGCCATCGCTGCAGTAGCAGGTCTCACACTGGGACTGGGACCAGTCAGTGTTGTGCTGCACAAACAGGACTAACCATTAACAGTGTTAGTACTATAGGGGTACTGGGGTACTTCAGGTTTTCTTTGGTTACATTTGAATCTAGGGACCACTTAAAACTGTGACTGCTAACATTTGGGTCATCATAGCTATGACAAGGACCCTTGACTCTTAATTTTTGAAAACTGATGCGCTTATTTAGCAGTCAAATGTACGAAGAAAGTTCACCCAACTGGAGGAAATCATATATTGCTTTTTACAACCATTCCAATGATGACTCTATTAATTCCAAAGATCAATAAGTCCATGGAGAAGTTATGGAACAAGCAATGATGAATGTAATGGGTTGACTGCTCAATAATGTTATCCAATAATGAGTGATTTCTTTCATCTCTTGATTTCTTGTAGAAAACGGAGACAATTCTACAGCTGTATTTATCATTCTCCTAGAGGTCATGAAGCTGCTTCTGTTGCAACATCCATACCTCAACAATCAAGAAATCAGATTGTAAAACAAATTGTTTCTTTTTTCTCTCTACAACTGCATTGACTAAGAGACTGCTGTACTCACCGGTACTGACTGTCCATTCATCTGACATGGTGCCATCCGTCCCACACACACAGGACAACAAGCACCTGCTGGAAACTGAAGCTGTTCACCCTGCAATGCCAAATACTCTATCAGACCCTTCTCTAGCAGACTACTAGCCTGAATAAGAATAACATGTACCCAGTACCGTTAATTTATTAAATGTTTTATACACATAAAATTTCTCTGTAATCTTTTTTTTAAAATTTCTAATGCTGATTTCACATAAAGCTAGGTAGACTTTCCTGGATTATTATCTAAACTTGTTTTGAGAATTATTAAGTTAGATGCAGATATTCCTCGGTCATTGGATAAGCCTGAAACTGCCATTTCAGCATTATTTTCACTTGCTTCTGTCATTGGATTTCTATGAAAGCCTACAACTAGGTAGTCCAAACAAAATGTTATACCAGGAGAAACATTTCCATCAATTCTCTATTATTATAAGACTTCTTTCTCACCTATTAGTGAACACCTGGTATAATCACTATTTGATAGTGATTCACAAACACATGCTTATGACATAGTAGGAATTGACAATCAACTCTGCTTTTAACAGTGACAGCTTTTGTTGCTTTTATCATATGTATTTTTAAACTTCATTCTTAAGAACATTTTGAAATATATCTGTCATGTCTGTTAATGGTAAAACATAGGCTAATATGAACCAGACTATATGCAGACTTTAAACTAGTGACTTAAGACCTCTCTATCATGTTATATACTATTAACAATATAAAGTTCACAACCACCCGATACTTTCCTATCACTATAGTTAATTTGTCATGCCATGAACTATAGAAATATGAAAGAATCGGGTGGCCCTTAATCTTCTTTACATAATAATCACGTAGCCACAAGGTGACCACCTGTGAAGATTGAATGGAATGTCGTCCCCTGATGGAGCAGGTGGAGCTTGCCAGGCTGTCCGCAGAGAGACTAAAGGGGTCTTACACGTGAATTTGCATAGTGTGTCTTGCTTGGAGTATTGTTTGCAGCTCATGTTATCATCCACTGGTTTCTTTACTTCCTTCAACATGCGTTTCATCCATGTACAGCCAGTGTTTAAATAGTGATAACTGGTGACTTCTCTTTACTCTCACTCATCCCTAATCTCACTAAATGCAATACACACAAAAACTCAAAAGGAATTAAAGCGTCACATGTGACTGTGTTTCCACGTACAACTATGGTAATGAACATACAGAAAACAAACCAATGTTTCACCAGTACATTCCAAAAAAAAAATCATTCCAAGAATTGTTTAATCCATTTTGAGCCACTGTGAGACTTAAATTTTATTTATGTCGTCTTTTTGTAGGTTCTATCAGAATAACAGATGACTTATTCTGAACATAAGACTAACATCCAGTCTCTGAATTGAACATATCTTACAGAAAAAAACATTTGTTTAATTATCTTAATAAAAAAATAATAAGAAGGAGCCCAGAGACTCTCTTCATTTCCTGATACTGCAGTAATCTAGACCATGTAGACTTGCCAAACATTATAGACTAGCATGGGCTGTATTGGATATATTTGTATCAGGGTCTGTATGACAGACTATCTGAACATATGTGACTCCATGAACAGCATCTCACAAGTCCAAGTTAAAGACAATTAATACAGAATCTGAGATTGTATAACATTAACAGTCTATGGTACAACACTTTCTACCAACACTAAAGAGTACCATTGAAGTGTACCAACACTGACAGTAGACTATTATATGATAAACTTGCATTATGGGGAATGTCAATACAAGGTTGATATTGACCATTCACGTTGGCACAATAGTCAGTCCAGCAAACAAGAAAGGTATCACAGACGTATAGACACTACTGTCTGAGAATGATAGGGGTCGGTGTGTTTTGATAGGTCATAAATATAGGTGTGGGATTCCAGCATTGTTGGGGTGGTAGCGAGGTGTTAAAAGGACACAGTGTATGAATACATTTTAGATGGTATTGTCATGACACTGTTCCGTGGGTGAACTGTGGGAATTGTTCTACATGCAAAGGCGACACTTCCTCCCCCATATACAATAACTCACTCTTATATTTGCTTACTCAGCAGAAATGATTTTGTTACAGTTATGTCAAAACAAATGGATATGTGCCAAATTTTCTTCACTCAGCATGCTCAGTAGTAACCCAAAACATACAAAAGCAAAAAGGACCACATGCAATTCCTTTTATTGAAAGATATCATTGGCGAGATCAGTGTCTAAATAAAATAAAAGCAACAAAACCCTATCCATATTCATAAGAAATCTCTGCCAAAAGCAGAGTTGATTGTATGACTCCAACCATATCATGAGCATGTGTTTAGGAATCATTATCAAATGGTGATGATACCAGGTGTTTGCGAAAAGGTGAGCGTATCCTGCCCCATCGGTGGCATCCGTCACAAACACATTTGTCTATTGTGTGCTTCAATACCTGCCATGCTGCATCCATTAACCCATTGTGGTTAGTCAGTCTGTTAGACCTCTGAACATATATTTAATAAAACAGTCATCCCCATTCCTAGCAGAACATAGCAGCAATAGGCTGAAAAGAGGGGACTTGAAGGTTCCATTTTGGAATTATGTTTTATTGAGCTTATTCACAACATTGTGGTGTTTTGGGTGGTGAAGAGTGATGCTTACCCTGCGGCTATCACACTTGGGATCCATACACTTGATTCCCTCACACACAGCCACAGGGTCCTGGCAAGTACACACCGTGCAGGAGTCGGGCTGCCACACAGTGTTGTTCTGAAAATACATCAAACATAATCTAGGGTGAAAAATTAAATAAAAAGATGAATAATTCTTGTACACATAGGGGGCTTAGCCATCTAAGGTGCCACATTTTGCTGAATAAAGTTGCATCCCTTAGGAGTACCTGTGACCATGAGTTCAAATTCAAGTTTGCTCATTTACCATTCAAAGCAGCATTAAACCCAACTCACTCACTCACTCACTCTAGCATGCGTAGAAAGTGCTTAACATTTGCTCATGTAGGAAATCATATTTCATTAACTAAAACAGGATATTGTTAACCTGAGACTCATCCTGCTGCCAAAATAGGATCTGTGTTACATATGTCAATGTATCTGATACAATTGTAAAACAATTTAAAACATGGATAAAGTTCAAGTTGATTTTCTTACTCCATATATATCATACTGTTCTATCTGATATATTACTGAATTGTGCTGAATTCTCTTAAATTTCTAACCACCTGTAAGAAACAAAGCTTCTACCTATGTTTGGGTATTTAGATTATTCATAATGACAGTTAAATATCATGTTTTTTTACTGAAGATATAGTTTGTTCTGCAATGAACACATTGTTCATTTTCAATTATAAACATCCCTTATTGATCACTGTTTGATAAATAAAAGACAATCAGAAGGACCTGTTGGCACAGAATCTAAGAAGAACATTCACCAACAAAAGGTTTTCCATTTTAAAATCATAAAACCTTCAGAATGAATTCATTCTAAATTTCAGTTATAACTCTCTCAGATACAGCAACAGCTACACATACATTGAACACAGCACAGTATTGCAAAACATCGCATTGTTCAAGTATCATGGCAGGCAACATCATACCCATGTTAGGAATTAAACCCATACCTTCTGAATGACAAGTCAGTACGTTAACCACAAGGCTACCCTGCAGTCCCCATGGGAGAAACAATAATTGCAGTGCTACTCATGTGTTTTTAGAGAAGACCAGGTATGTGGTTGTACTGCTCCTACCCTACAGTTACCATGGGAGAAACAATAATTGTAGTGCTACTCATGTGTTGTGAGAGTAGGCCATGTGAGAGGTTGCACTGCACCTATTCCTTCATCAGGCCTTTCCCTTATCAGCACTGTACTAGATATTCCACATGGACTCCTTCAAAGGAAGCTGAAAGTATGCCAGTAACTACGCACCTGCATCTCTCTAATAAATTAACACAGTACTGTTGGATGTTTACACATAAAGAATCAAGTCTGGAATATCTTTCATGTACACACGTTACTGAATCTATGTTATAAAGATCGTATACCATAGCTTCAGACATTAATATATGTTATAAAGATTGTATACCATAGTTCCAGACATTAATCTATGTTATAAAGATCGTAAACCATAGTTCCAGTCATTAACAGTGTTTTGATGTGAACTTCTAAAGAGTTCGCAACAATGGAATGTTCATGGTGCAGTTGTGTGGGTGGAACTCCAATTAGCTGATAAAACAAATTGGTACCAGAACATGTTCCACGTTTAGTAGGAAGGTCTACACGTCAGATCAAGAAACCATAGCTCTGTAGCAATGGTATTCAGAGACTATTGCTCAGAACTGTCAGTAACATCTTAAAATACTTCTTAACCATCCTTATTCATATAGTTATCTCCAACACATGAAATGTAACAGTGTGAAACAAACTTTGTTAAACTCTATCCATTACACAAGAAAATTACCACCGTTGTAAAGTGCTGACATGTCCAGTGACCTAATAATGAGGAGTGCTGTCAGCTATTGTGATGAAGTTTTGGATTTGAACCAGGAAAAAAACTTGTGAAATGCCTGGACATCCCATTCTGTTCTTGCAATCATAAGTTTCTATGGCCATTGTTACCTTACGAATATGATGATAAATTAAAGTATTCTGTACAACGCGATATAATAAGACCAACAAGACCTTTCCATTATCACAAGAAATACCAACAAGAGTCATCAGAAGATGACAAATCCCCCGGCCCCTACAAATTCGAAAGAACAAATTATCTGCCTGTTAAGTCCACTTGATGAAGAATTTCTATCTGATCTGTCTGTCAGTATACAAGAGTAATTATTGAGCTATCAAAACAATACCATGGAATTGGGATTCAGAACTCTGATTTCTATGTCAGGTACACACCAACATGAACAGTCAAAGTCAATCTTGTTGCCAGAGAAATGGAAAAAATACAAATTCTAACAATCCCTAAATAGCAAAAGGCACCAGATGACAAACTGGTCATATGTGTGCATAGTTTCAAGGAAGAATACCTATTAGTTTTAAAGATGTAGTCAAAGTCAAACTTCTTGCCATGGAAACAAGAAAATATATCTAAATAGCAAAAGGCACCACTTCACCCCCTGAATAATACATGTTCCAAGTTTGATTCAACACTGTTGAACAGTTTTTCAGTGCTGCTCCAGAAACGACACCTACGTTCATTTCAGCAAAGTCTAACTTGTGTCCAAGGATACCGTAAAAATGAAATTTTGAAACATTCCTAAATAGCAAAAATAAATATTTTAAAAATTACAAAATAGCAAAAGGCACCACTTTAGCATTTGACTGATACATCTTTCAAGTTTTGATCAAATATACTGAATGGTTTTTGAATTCTGCCCCCGAAACAAACCCCATCCCCAATGGAGTCTATGTCCAACTTCTTTCCATAAAAATTTAAAAAAATAAAAATTCGAAAAATCCCAAGATATCAAAAGGCACCACTTCAGTATGTGACTGATAGATTTGACAAGTTTCGATCAAATACATTGAATAGTTTTTAGTACTGGCCCGGAAAAGGGAATGATTACCGACAGACAGATGGACAGATGAACGGACAGATGGAAGGACGGACAGACTGGCTGATTGCTATATCCCCCGCATTATATGCCGGGAGGATAATAAAGCTTAAAGGAGAGTCCATTTTTTGTTCTGACCATATAATAAGCATGTGTTTATTAATCACTATCAAATAGTGCTGATACCAGGTGTTTGCAAAAAGGTTAGCATATCCTGCCCCACCAGTGGCACCCATCACACACACACATGCAAAGGCAAGTCAATTGTTCACCTGAAACATATGGTCAAATCAGGGAATTGCATCAGACATCATTGTTGTCACTGATGTTTCAAATTTGGAAATGTTCTCCACATGGCTACCATAAAACATTTTGAAAGCAGTACATAAGGCTTTGAATGTTTTAATCCATCTAAACAACTTGTTAGCAAGAGTCGTATGACGCTCTTTGTGAAAAGAGCAACCAATATCAAGGGCAGGTAATTTGTGATCGGAAGAACCACTGAAATGGATCCAGGTATTACTGCAGGTCCACCGAAATGCTAGCCCTGGAGATACAGAGGATGCTTGTCATACAATCTTTTGCAAAAATACTTTTTCTCACTCTAAATTCTTTATGCATAGATCTAAATACAAAACAGATAAAACTACTCTTGTGTTTCTGGCTCTCTCTCTAAGGCAGTCATACTGTTTTGACTATACCCTCCCTAGACAGGAACTGACACTCTATCCTCACCCAGTGCCCCAGTAGTTACTTAAACAAAGCAACCTGACCCAATAGTTACAGTCAGTCCTTCCGAACTCCAAATATTACCTTGGATAGTACTTCCTTATGTTAATAAACTTAGCCCTCACTGAGGCAGAGAGGCATGTATTCCTGTACAGTCATCCTCTGTTACTGCAGAAGAAAACAGATTTGTGTTACATCTTGTCTAGGGAGGCTGTGAGGTCCACGAGCCTTGCTACTAATGGTACCTCTTGGATTGGCTGTGCAAACATAGTGGCGAGCTTGATGGCTCATTGGTAATGTCTGAACATCATCATACACATGCTAAAGTTGTTTAACACAAACTCGGAAGAATTCATAGGAATGCTATTGTGGAGTCTCAACATGACAATGTTCATGCTGTACGTATTATCCCTTACTGTAAAGAGAGCACTTATAGTCCCATTTGGCTTCCAAAATCAGCTAGATTTGCTCTGGTAAGCAGAGAAAATGTGCGACATAAACAATATGGGGTAAGTATCACGTCCAATAACAAACCATCCCTGCTTCACAGGATAAAGAAGGTAGGATCCCAGAATAAACCAGGATTTGCCCCAGCCTCCCAAATCTTGGGGTCATCATGACCCTTTGTCTGTCTTAAAGGGTGTCATTGATGTATTGTTGGGGTCATCATTTTCCAATGAATCAAGTGATATCTTTAAACACTGACAGATTTATTATGTCCTCCATTTGGCTTGAAATCCTGTTTGACATAGTTTAATTCAAAAGATGTTATTGTCATGATTAGGTAAAATAAGCGCCAAAAACCATTCCATAGTCACAGAGTTGATCATGTTGATAGTACGATTACGACTATTCATGAGTATATGTTTATGAATCACTATCAAATAGTCATGATGCCAGGTGTTCGTGAAAAGGAGAGCGTATTCTGCTCCACTGGAGGCACCATCACAAACACATGCAAAGACAAGTGAATTGTTCACTTGAAAAACATGGTGGACATAAGTCAAAATTCATTACACATAACAAAAGTTATTTATGACAGGCTAAATCATAATATTGTGTAGGTTATTCAAAAAGACTGACAAAATGAGAATATTTTAAGAATTACTTGATAACAACTGGTAGAAGAATTTCTTTAATGTTGTTAGAAATGTATTCAAATCTTATGTACACTAAATATATACTACTCAGAAGAAGTTAAAGAACACTAGATTCTTTCAGATGACTATAGTTAATCTGTCATGCCATTCTTTAACTTCTTTTGAGTACTATTTATCACGGGAGGCACTAGTTCTGAAACTTAAGTCAAAGAAAGCATGTTAATGGCTTTTCATCTTATCTTATTGTATTAACAACTCCTGGCAACATCCCCCCTATCAACTAGCCTGAGTTTCCAGAGTAGTGAATTCCTTAATTTTTGTGATATCTGACAATTTTTTAAACATCCTGCACTGTTATCTCTCTTT